TTTTAAAATATACATTTCATTCATCAAGGATTGAATGCCTATTTAATAACCGTTATCTCCACAGATCAAGATACATTTACTGAAGACATTTTCGTATAAAAAAATCTTCTGTACTTTTTAAGATTGAAAATTATTTTCATTTGGCATTTTCACTTCCTGTCTTGAAAGCCCTGCATGTCAGACGTTGACTTGTACATATAATTCGATTACCTCCCAGTGTAGATCATATAACATTCTAATCAAATGCAGCTTCTTTGATGCCCCAATCATCAAACAGAATATCAAAAGAGTATATCATTCAATTCGGTATATTACTTGACAAAATGTTATCAAGAACCAATGAGAGCTTGTTTGTTACGTGATTTGTTCACATAAAAAACATAATTGACATACATGTCTGGGAACTAATTTTTTTTATTTTTCTATTTGAGTGTTGTACGTACACCTGAATACAAGTTTTTTGTTATACCCTTATAGATATCTTTCTATATATTGATTACAAATAAAAAAAAATCCAACAAAGTTCATGTTTTTTTGATCGGTCTAACAATTTCATTGTTGACCGGTCTATAATTAGTCCAAAATAAGAATTGTTAGACCGCAACGTCACTGCTACGTCACAAGTAATAAGATTTATTTCCTTTGCTGTAATTCCCATTTTTCAGTTTTTTCTCTCATTTTCACATAAATTGGTATTCATTTGATTTTTTTTCTCCACTCTTTTTTTTTATTTTCTCTTAAATTCCATTCAGAGAGGTGGGTGTTGTTTGTCTTGTAGCTTAAAAATAAAGTAATAAAGTATAATTCCAATCTTGTTTTTATTTATTGATTTCCTGTGTTTTGACTGGACGAGAACAAATTCAAGAAAAAGTTTACACATCGATAAATTCTCAATCAGAACTACTTTCTTGACCTAGCTTTTATTGTTAAAAAAAATGAAACAAATCATTACGTTTTCCCTTTAATGTTTTTATCCAAATAAATCATGGGACAAAATAAACTATTAGTCTACTTAAAAAAAGACACTTTAAAATTGTGACTAAGAAAAAGTTTCAAATTGCTTCGCATAATCAATTATTTGACCTTTCTGCACTCAAAAAGTGTGATTTCCCTGGCATTTTAAATTAACAAGCAAGAAATTATTTTAAAGTCTTAAACTTTTGCTGAATTAAGGCAGATTGATTAAAGTTATCTTATATATTCAGAAAAGAAAAACAAAAGTGGGAGTCTGTGATGTAAATTTTCAGATATTACTAAGAAAGTGTTAATTTTATGCTAAAATTGGCTAATTTTTTCCTGGACTTTCAGAGTATATTAACTATATTTGTCACAATATAATGAAAGTATTCATAAGAAATAATTTAATAGATATTTCAGAACCAGCACAAAACATTTCACTGCAAAAAAAAAAAAAAAAAAAAAAAAAAAAAAACAGCTCTGTGTGCAACCAGCATGGAAAAATAGGAATTTAAACTTAACAGTACTGTATATATTTCAAAAGGGAAATATTGATCATTTTCTCCTAAAAAAAACCTTCCGCCTCAAAATATAGTTCCTGTCTTAATCCTATTTGAATGGAATTTAATCGCGGTTTTTTCATTGGATATAGTTTAATTTGCATTGTAGAATCTAGATTTAATGTTTGAACTTAAAAATGATGCAGAATTTTATAGAGGTCCAGACCAAAATCTGCTCAAAAGCTCAGGATCGAACCTCCTTAAATAGAAACAAAACTGACGACATACAGGACTGACAGACGAGAATATTATGTTTATGTCACTGTCAGATCATGAGTGTGAATTTTAAATCTCTGAAGTCATATTCTCGAAGTTCCTAAAAAACAAATCAGCTCAGTTCTCGGTAGCGCTGTGATAGGAGAGAGAAACGTACCTTAGACTTTTGCCTTATTAGCATCAAATTCATTTTTTTTATTTTACATCCTATATTCTGTCCCGCCTTTGAACAAACCAGGGCAAATCAAGTTGTCGTCGGTCTGCTACTTTCGTTTTAGAGCGTCTGTCATTATATTGTCAACATGGACATGGACGAATTCTTTTGAAGTCTACTTGTATTTACGATATTTGTTGACTTACATAATTATACTCTATTATACATGTATGTCTCTGACTTAAACAATATTCGAAGACTCATGCCTTTGTACTCACAAACTTTACATAAAAGTGCTTCGCACTTTTATTCAGTTTGTGAGTACAAAGGCGTGAGTTTACACATCGATAAATTCTGGAAAAAGAACGTTTAATCCTATAATATATAGAGGATATTCAATGTTTTGTAGATGAATATGGAATTTATTTCACGAGTGGGACAGGATTTTTTTTTAAATTTTCACGAGTGCGAAGCTGTTGGGTAATTCGTTAACTACAGCCTGCTAAATGAGCAAATTAAATTATGTTTACTACCTCTTTACTCCTTACTTCTCTTAATTTTTGTTCATCTTTTTATTTGTACACTAGGACTTCGCATGCTCTTTATAGAAAGGAAGGACATCCTTTATTAATGAAAGCAGCCAAGGGGAATAACTCGGAGGAAAAATACAAAAAAAAAAAACTATCAATGCTTTCTTTAACGTCCTATCCAGAATTTTTCACTCATATTGAGACGCCACCACTTGCCAGTGAAGAGCTGCAAACTAAGACTTAAATACTTGGCACTTGCGGCCTTTGTGCAGCGAGGAATCTTTTTTGTGCCAGCACCTACTGCGACATTAGTTTATAGTCTCATCCAAAGGACCCGTCTCTATGCCCAGCACTGGGATTCGAACCCACAACGTAAGAATCAAATCCTTACTCTGCGACTCTAAAGCAAATTCTCTACTCACTGCACCAAACGGGCGACATCAATTTTTAGTTTTCCATAATCTGCAGATATTCACTAAAAAGATGCTTTGCTGTACACAAACCTTAAAATTCCTCATTTCCCTATTTTCAAACCTATGAGAAAAGATTGCATTTCTAACAATCATGAATGGTTCAGAATGTGTTCAAATGTAGAAAATGCAAAATCATACTACAGCAACCTTAGATTTTTTTTTTTTTTTTGGGGGGGGGGGGGTGTTCTTATTCTGATAAAAACACCATACTTCCTTTTAATTGTCGGGGGTTGGTGTTAACAAGATTTTAACCCATTTCTTGCCATTAAGCTGCCAATCCAGCACTGAGAGAATAAATTGGTGATAACAAGCTTCCATTTCATATTTTGTGATTATAGAACAAACTTTTCCTATTTTCTGTAAAACACATTATCGTCAATATTGCATCAACACTTTATTTTCACATTTAGTACACTACATCAATACAAACATATGGAGGTAATGTACAGACTATAACCATGTATTTCAGAAAAAAAAACAATTCAGGAATGGTAAGAAGGTTCTAAATCAGGTGACATTATTTGCTATGCAAAAAAATATCTAAGATTTATTAAGTGATTTGGGGGGGGGGGGGGGGTTAAAAACTCGGTCAAAATTTAATCTTTTATTTTCTGTCAACCTAAATATGAACAATAGAGAAAATGACACTACATCACATATTTAGGTAACCATATTTTTTGCTGAAAAAAATAAATGAATGTAATTGTTATCATCAAAATCAGTTTTTATCTCTTTTAGAACAAAATTCATCATTAACATTTGTTTCTCTTCATTATGTTAAAAAAAATCTTAATTCATAAACTCAAATATCTTCATTCTTCCTGAAATTTATGACTGAATTGACCAACTTACACATAGTTTTTTTTTACCCAACATATTGCCTTTTCATTGCTTCTTTTTAATCTTTGAAAAATAAAATGATTTAAATCGCATGTTAGAAATATTGGAACAAATATTTCAAATAATAGAAAAGGGGAGCTAAATAACAAATATATAATACACCAGTAAAACTGAGGTGGGATATGAAATACTTATTAAGTGTTCTAAAAAATATTCTCATTAAGATTGCCAATGCAGATAAAAAAAAAACAAAAAATATATATAAATATACTTGTACTTGACTCTTATAATATTTTCTGCAGTTTTAAAGGAAAAATGATATTCTAAAATTTTTTATTTCAAAAAATTTGGATTCAGATTTTTTTTCTCACTTTTTTGAAAGAATGTGTGCAACATTTTGTTTTTCTCAAAATTGTGTATTTACTATAATTTCACATTATTTTGATCCATTTTTCAAGCAGCTCAATATTCATGTGGGTTGTGATGCAAAAATTGTAACTTCTTACATTAAATATTTTTTCTTCTATAAAGATTAAAGGTGTCTATATTCCTGCTATTAAAGTGAAAAAATGTTAATAAATAAATATAAATAAAATGTTGAACACATCTTTTTAAGTCACTCTATTGCACAGGATAATAAACGATCAACCAGGATCAAGTTGTAGACAGTTACTTAAATTTATTTGACAGTTAATTGTCTTTAATTCACTTTGAAAAAAAAGATATCAACAATAAGTTAACTGTTAGTTAACAAAAATTTTTGCAAGTTCGGAAAAATATTGCCTTAAGCAAAATTTGATCATACAAAGGGGAAAAAAAAACAAAAATAAAAAATGAATTTACTATAATAATAGTAACAATTTATGTCACAAAAATAATTTTCACCATTAAACATTTTAAATATTAATTATTCTCTGTTAACATTCACCAGTTTTTATAATTTGTTATAAACAGATGATTGAGCCACAACAATTCATAATTAAGTAGGAAAAAATCATCAACATATAAAATCTTCAAACTTAACAAATATATAGAGATTTATAAATAGATAATTTATATCACTATATCACCTATCACTATATTTAGAGACATCTGATATCTTATTATTATAGCACATCATAGATCACTAACTGACACTAACAGAAAAAAGACGGGAGTAAGAAAACCCTTATGAAATTGTATTTTCTACCAATAATGATAGCATATAAATAAGTAAAACTTGTAGATAATGCTTTAAATACAATTTTATAATTTCTCATTTTATATCCTAGTTTTTTTAATTAAGTAAAAGTCCTGAAACAGGTAATAAATTGAACTGGGCTACACTAGGAAAATATGCTTTACAAAATTATATTACAACAATTTAAGCTTAACAAAATTATCGTATTGAAATTGGTTTTGCAAATCAATATTACTAAGACATTTCAAAACTGCAAATTTAATCACAGAATAACAAAAGAACTTTTAATAAAACAAAAATGCCTTTTTCTTTCAGAAATACATCTCTCAAACCATATGGTAAATATGCTTCTTGTATATCTAAGGTTTGTCTCCATCTGCATAAATTCTCATCAAAATGTGATTGTTTACAGCAAGTTGAGTACACAACAAAAAAATATAATGTGTATTGACATGTATTTCACACAGGGGGGTACTGTATATATGTAAAGATATATTTTTATGTATATATATATTTACTTTTGACATCATTGATATTTCTGGGTGATGAACATGAGACTAACTATAACAGTTTACATTAACAGGGACACTTAGATGACTGTTTCCATGGAGATGAGCTGAGTGACTAGAGCCCCATCTGGTGATTTAAGGGGACATTACTGTGGTAGAGCCTTCAGTATGGCGTGAACTTCCTCGGCAACTGCTGCTAGGGCAAACTGGAACTGTTCCTGAAAAATTCAATCAACTGTCAATATATGACAAAGGTAAACCTTACCAAGCTCTTAGTTTACTGCCATGCATCCACGTATCCAGTTTGCTAAATTTACAGATATGAGCCAGATTTTCAAAGGTATACATTAAGAAATAAATTTTAAATATATGCATTAGCCCTCTGAACCTGAATGTGGGGCATTTGAAATACAAAATTTTCATAAAAGGCTAGCTCCTCATTATAATCAAGCCCAAAGTTTTGCCTGCATGATTCCTTGAGAAAAGAGGATTATTAAAGCAATATGAGCTGCAACTTAGATGTCGGAAATTTTTTGTGGCAAAATTGTAATTAACAATTTGAATGACAGAAAAAAGAGCATTTATAAACTTCTGCTGTTCATATTTGCGATGGAAGAACTATTTAGAAGCTTTGATTGAAGCAAATTTAAATTACATTATTGTCTTCCTGTACAATATTGATTTCTTATATAATACTATACATTCCATTGTACAGAAAACTTTCTTCTGCAAAAATTTAATACTTTATTTTAGTCTAATTAATCATAAAGGTCATAACAGCACATTTTAACAACAAAATAAAATTCTCAAAAATGCAGCTGATATTGCTTTAAATTCCTAAATGTTTTAGATTTTTAATACTTTATCAATTTAGTCCCACCCTGGGGCCTCATCCAGGGGACATGAAATTTCCCATTTTGGTACATGGCTAGCTGCTCATTATGCATTATGTAAATATTTGGCATCCTAGGTGTTCAGGAGTAAAGATTTTTTAAGGTGTTATGTATTTTCATTACAACCAACTTTTCCTCCCCATCGCCTGCACTTTGAAAAAGACCATGATCATGCATGAATTTTCACAATTTTGGTGGAAAGCTAATTATACATTGAAGGTGTTCATTAAATGTATAATCATGAATCGTTTTTACTGATAATTTTTATCAGCTTTTATATATTCTAGTTTAAATCAACCGAAACTTTAATTAAAATATACCACACTAAATAATTTTGTCATTTCAACTCTCGTATGAGTTATCTTTCCTACCTTAGTTTTAACCATGTTTTTTCTCTGGTCTCGGATGTGTTCTAGCGTGGCTGCAATGTCTATCTCCTTTGCTCCTGTTTATACAAGGAAAAAAATTAGATATTTTTCAAATTTGACCTGAAATATGTTTAAACCACATAGTTTTATTTACAAAAGATTAAAGGCATTACTATGATTTATTTATTCACTTAATTACTTTGAATAATACATGTATATAAGTTGTGAATACATTCAACAACTGTTGATTTTTACATACTTTGCAATATATAATAAACAAGAATATAATTTGTTCAATACTTTTTTTATTTCAGGGTACATCAAGCCTTTATTTTTTTAACCATGCAGTTCAGAACCTGATGTAATCTGACAGTCACCTTTAGCCATGTGGTTCAGAACCTGATGTAATCTGAAACTCACCTTTTGTCATACAGTTCAGAACCTGACATAATCTGACACTCACCTTTAGCCATGCGGTTTAGAACCTGATGTAATCTGAAACTCACCTTTAGCCATGCGGTTCAGAACCTGACATAATCTGACACTCACCTTTAGCCATGCGGTTTAGAACCTGATGTAATCTGAAACTCACCTTTAGCCATGCGGTTCAGAACCTGACATAATCTGACACTCACCTTTAGCCATGCGGTTTAGAACCTGACATAATCTGAAACTCACCTTTAGCCATGCGGTTCAGAACCATGTCAATAAGGGTGTATGTTCCTGTTCTTCCACAGCCATCACTGAGGGCAAAACAAAGGGAAAGGTGTGAGATTTACCATGTCATGTAATGCATTGAGGCTTTTAAAGAAAAATTAATCATCAAATTTTGATAAAGTAAAAATATTTAATTAGAGAAGTGACAACAAAACAAAATATCATTCTAGAAGATTTAGTAGATTTTACTACTCCTTTCCATTTTTTTTTAGGGGGGGGGGGTGTTCAGATACAGGTAGACATGTCCTGTTCCAAAGTAAACAATGCAGTATGAATGCTTTAAATAAATACCTGAACAAATCAACATGCAATCTCCTCTCCCCCCCCCCCCCCCCAAAAAAAAAAGGAAAAGAAAAACATACAAATATAGAGCACAAACCTGCAGTGAACAACAATGGGACAGGATCTCCCTCTGTAGGACTTATTCACTTTCCTGTAGAAAGAAAACAACATTAGCATTTTTAACTTTTGTTTCACCCTCTTTTTGACTATGATCACACTCAAGAAGACATTAAAATAAACTGTCAATCCATGGCTTTACATCACTGTCAACATCATACAGCATCATATCTCTTTTTATTTTCTTGACAGTAGAGACTTTTGCCATGGCATTACTCATATTGTCACTTTGATTAGATTTCAGTACAATGGGTGCTATCCAATTGCAAAATGGCACAACACTGATACAAAGACATACAAGACGGTTAGAGCATTCACTGTTGTTTCTATATACTCATTACTAGGAGTAAGCATCACAACACCCATAATCAAGTTCTTCCTTTAATCATGTTGTGTTCTTTAATAATCAGCAATGTTGTTAAAGACTTTCATTCATTTCAGGCCCTCAAATAACATCTAGACAAACACATCACAACATTTATTTTGAAATAAGGAAAGGTCCAAGAATGCACCATATTTTTCCAGTACTGCTTTCTCTAGTTGAACACTTAAAAATAATTATTCGTCTGAAATGGGCCAAAGGTTTGGATACATGTGACTTTCAGCTGACTGTTGTATAAAGCAGTGACATTTTACATCTGCGTCTCACATCCAGTTCTGTTTATTTTGCTGAAACCGGTGCCAATGTGCAACCAAATGGTTAAGCATTCCATGGACTAACGCAGTTGTTTGATGACGTGAAGGTTTCAAAGAATGTAATCTTCATTAAGAATCAGGCAACCCTGTGTTAATTCTCCTTGTGGATAAAATAGATCTTCATGTTGTTACACAGACCACCCTCTTTTGGGCATACAGCTTAAAGCAGAGATTCCATAACAATCTACAAAGCTATTCATCTTCTTTAACAGCAAACAAGGCATCTTCTGCTGAGCATTGATTGGATGTCTTCCTTTTGTTTTGAAACACAAAAACAGTGAGTCTCACTCTACTCTTGTTTTTGGTAAATAAAGCTGTGGAATAAGTGGTAAGATTACATTCCAGTTCATTTTAGTGACTAAGCAATCCCTCTACTTATGGTTTGTGAAGATTATAGTAGTGTGATTAGTGGCACAATCAAATCCCTGATCACTTTTGTGACTATGCAATTTGTGGACTCAACAATTGCTAAACCACAAAAGCTGTCATAGGAATTGAGAAGGTTAAGTAACGCTGGCTAGCTATGTGGCGCTATGCCTACTACAGCAAAAGCGGGCCACTCTTAACATTTCTTTACTACATCAATAAAATGGAGTGCTTATTAAGGGTCTATATTTCAAAAAAGTAAGTTGACACAAAAAGCAAGATTGGAAAAACTGATTTTTGTCTAAAATAGCTCTTTAAATACTATGTTGATTTAATTCACAAAAGCAACAGGCAACAACAAATGACTATTTACAACACAGATAAATTTAGAACAAAGAAATCCATTCAAAAAGTTTTCAAATGTTATTGATCCTTAATTTTGGAAATTAAAAATTTTGTTGTTGAATAAAAGCTAGATCATATAAACCAGTGTTTTTTGTAGGTATATACTTAATTTTGATTTTTTTTTTTTAATTCTATAAATGTAGGTTTTTGTTTAGCTTTGCTTCCTTTTACAGTGTTGATAGAATTACATTAAAGATTTACCTTTGAAATCTAACTCAGCATCAATTGGGAGGGTTTTCCCCCTTTTTCAGGCACTTATAAAGATGTGCAATGGTTGTGAGCCTTTAAATTACTAATGTACTTATTTTATTCATATTTTAGCACCTTAAATAGCGCCTTTTGCAGTTCTTCTTGTCCACTTATTAATTCATGTACGCACTAATACTAATACATGATTAAAACAAATGCATGTAGGAGCTGATATTGGCCCCCAATGTGCTAATTCATGATTATACTAATCAGATGAGGAAGACTGCATTAAATTTTGAGTGTGCTTATTAATGTATGCTTACAGTATATTGAATCTAATCTTTATAAAGAAATGAAATTTTGCTAATCTTATAGGGTTGAGGAAAAAATACTTTCATTTGTTTCATACCTTAAGACCTGTCACAGTTTTTAAGGCCTTATGATCCAAAATCTATTATATTTATAAAAGAATCTTCTTTAGGAATGAGAAATTTCACCTACTGTTGAACAACCAGAGTTATGATTATTTAGTTTTGTCCAGTATTGGAGATTAAGGGCATTGTTTATGTTTATTGACAAGATATAGCATTTCCCTTACCTTCTGAAATCGAGCAGAGCTTTGATGGACTTGGGAACTCCCAGATCCGGCCAGGTCTGGAAATGGAACTGAGTGACGGTGCGAGTCTCATTTGTTTGCAAGTTCTTCAGGTAAAAGCTTCTAACTAAATAATCATCACACCATATATGCTCTGACACCAGATGCACCTAATAAAATACAGAGAATAGTTTAGTGAGTGACATAAAACAGATCACCATCACTTTGTGAGAATGCAAAAGTATTTTGTTGACACTTGGGACCAAGGATGGTTGTCAACAGAGAAAGAACCAGAAGTCTCTGATGAGACTGTAGCTCTACTGATCTGTTTGTATAACAAAAGAAAAGTAGCACTTGGATTTGAAACATTGCAACATGCAACAATAAATAGAATTATGTATCTTAATGTAGTCTACTTTTGTGACAAGTTATATTGAAATCAAATGAAAACTAGGAGTAGTAGCGTTTTGAAAGTATTTCACGGAAATTTCTATTTTTAGTAACCATGACAACACCATTCACCCAAATAAAAAAAAACAGAAATACATATTATGTATTGTAGTGTATTCTAACTGTGTGCCAAATTAGATTGAAATCAGACCAAAATTGTAGGAGGAGTAACGTTTTAAAGGAATTTCAAAGAAATTTCTATTTTTAGTAACCATGGCAACACCGTCCATCGAAATCAAAAACCGATGCACTAAATTATGAACCTTAGTGTAGTCTACTTGTGTGCCAAGTTATATTGAAATCGGACCAAAACTGTAGGAGGAGTAGCGTTTTAAAGGAATTTCACAGAAATTTCTATTTTTAGTAACCATGGCAACACCGTCCATCGAAATCAAAAACCGATGCACTATATTATGTATCTTAGTGTAGTCTACTTGTGTGCCAAGTTATATTGAAATCGGACCAAAACTGTAGGAGGAGTAATGTTTTAAAGGAATTTCACAGAAATTTCTATTTTTAGTAACCATGGCAACACCGTCCATCGAAATCAAAAACCGATGCACTAAATTATGTATCTTAGTGTAGTCTACTTGTGTGCCAAGTTATATTGAAATCGGACCAACCCTATAGGAGGAGTAGCGTTTTAAAGGAATTTCACAGAAATTTCTATTTTTAGTAACCATTGCAACACCGTCCATCGAAATCAAAAACCGATGCACTAAATTATGTATCTTAGTGTAGTCTACTTGTGTGCCAAGTTATATTGAAATCGGACCAAAACTGTAGGAGGAGTAGCGTTTTAAAGGAATTTCACGGAAATTTCTATTTTTAGTAACCATGGAAACACCGTCCATCGAAATCAAAAACCGATGCACTAAATTATGTATCTTAGTGTAGTCTACTTGTGTGCCAAGTTATATTGAAATCGGACCAAAACTGTAGGAGGAGTAGCGTTTTAAAGGAATTTCACAGAAATTTCTATTTTTAGTAACCAAGGCAACACCGTCCATCGAAATCAAAAACCGATGCACTAAATTATGTATCTTAGTGTAGTCTACTTGTGTGCCAAGTTATATTGAAATCGGACCAAAACTGTAGGAGGAGTAGTGTTTTAAAGGAATTTCAAAGAAATTTCTATTTTTAGTAACCATGGCAACACCGTCCATCGAAATCAAAAACCGATGCACTAAATTATGTATCTTAGTGTAGTCTACTTGTGTGCCAAGTTATATTGAAATCGGACCAAAACTGTAGGAGGAGTAACGTTTTAAAGGAATTTCACAGAAATTTCTATTTTTAGTAACCATGGCAACACCGTCCATCAAAATCAAAAACCGATGCACTAAATTATGTATCTTAGTGTAGTCTACTTGTGTGCCAAGTTATATTGAAATCGGACCAAAACTGTAGGAGGAGTAACGTTTTAAAGGAATTTCACAGAAATTTCTATTTTTAGTAACCATGGCAACACCGTCCATCGAAATCAAAAACCGATGCACTAAATTATGTATCTTAGTGTAGTCTACTTGTGTGCCAAGTTATATTGAAATCGGACCAAAACTGTAGGAGGAGTAGCGTTTTGAAAAATTGTTTACAGACAGACGGACAGACAGACAGACAGACAGACAGACGGACGGACGACGGACACCTTACTATCGCATAAGCTCTTCTGGTCTCTGACCAGTAGAGCTAAAAATTAAGTTGTTTAAATCACATTAGTTGTTATAAAATGCAGAATGCTTTACTAATTAATGCCCAAGTACTGTAAGCAAAAAAAAGGAAGGGGGTGGGGGGGGGGGGTGGGGGGTAACTTAATGTTTTAACATTCCTGCAAATGAATTACCGGTAAACATTTGTTTAATATCTGCTCAAATTCAAACAACAATCACTAGGTGCAATAGAAACAAGAAGACCATGGGCCATATCACTCACCTGAGCACTTTGGCTAAGAAATTGAAGAGTTTAAATATATTACTAGTCTAAATCTACCATCCAAAAGGCCAAAGGGGGGGGGGGGGGGGGGGGGGAGTGATAATTTGAACTTGAAGCTAAACTAACTGAGGATGCTTCAATATTTCTTTGACTAATAATGACTTAAGAGGATTTTAAAAGATTTTTTTTTCCTATATAGTTCTATGTAAATGTTTGATCTTCTATTGTGGCCCTGCCCTGCCCTTAGGGTTATGGGTTGTAGAAACTTGAATGTACACTGAGAATGCTTCTGCATTAATATGACTAATCATGGTTTGCTGTTCTTTTGAAGATTTTAAAAGAATTTTCCTTTGCATTCCTATGTAAAACTTTGACTGTCCATTGTAGTCTAGACCTACCACCTGGGTTCATGCTTTGAATAAACTTGAATCTACATGTATGACAGGAAGCTTTCACCCAAGTTTCATTATTTCTGGCCCAGTGATTCTTGAGAAGAAGATTTTTAAATGACCCCACCCAATTTTTACTTTTTCTTAATGATCTCCCCATGGAAGAGGGAGTGGCCCTTTATTTGAACAAACCTGAATGCCCTTCACCCAAGGAAGCTTAAATTGTGCCAATTTGGTCGAAATTGGCCCAGTGGTTTTGAAGAAGATGAAATTGTAAAAAGATTATGCAATGACGATGGCAGACAACAAATTTTGTTCAGAAAAGCTAAAAGCTCACCTGAGCCTTTCGGCTCAGGTGAGAAAAACTGTATGCCCATGAAATTAGACCCAAAATAAAGTACACAGGTAATGGTTCTCGCACGATTTTTATGTGCAATTTTTCACAAATAGTCATCAACGATTACTGTTAATTTCCGAAGATGGGCCCTCAGACTAAAACTGTTTGTAGGATAAAACACATAGATTTATAATCTAACTTGCAATTTACAATGTTATAAAGCCATTTCCTTCTTAATATGGCTTTAATAGTATGTATCTTTGTCAAAAGATCAGGTCTTAAGGACCCACCCTGCCAAACACCAGTGCAATTTAATCTTTATATCTCCTCTGGCTTTGCTGCTTTGCTTGCAAGAGTCATAACAAATGTCAAAGATAATGAAACTTACTTCATAGATATGATACAAATCACTTCCTTCTTCGGGCCAGTAACGGTAACACATAGCTTCTCCGTTCTCTGTCAATCGAGTCAACATCACTATAACAACACTACCCTGCTCCCATACCATCTGAAAAAAAAATACAGAAAAATTAAATATCAAGTTCAAAATACATTAAGAATCTTAACTAAACCTATAGAACAGTTATTTGTTCTATAACTGGTAATATACAGACTTTGTCGATAAATAAACCACTTTATAAAGAACTTTGATGTAATGATAAACAACAGTGCCATATGATACAATTAAACAACTTCGTCAGTTTTACCCAGTGGTACACTTGCAAGACTGTTCATCTTTATATAATATCCTTATCTAGGCTATATACTCTATTAGAAATACAAACAAAACAAAAAACTTTTGAGATAATCAGCTCACGTATTATCAAATTACTGGAATTTAGTGCTTTATTTGGAAACACAATGACTCATTAGGATTTTCTTAGAGTACACAAAGAGGAAACCTTGTAATAATTAAACTACATTAATACCCTAAATAAAACATCATTTCTCTTTCTCATTATATAACATTTCAAAACTTCATTAACGGAAATTCCCTAAACAATGATCATCATCTATGGACATTATGTAATGACATGCTGATCTACAAATGGACAACTTCGACTGACACTCTTCCTCTAATGGGGATGCTGTGGGATTATATTTGTAAAAAGATTATTTTGCTTCATTCCTTGTTAAAATATTTTTTTTAAATCTAACAAGTTATTTAAATCGTAAAAAAGTGTGTAATTTTTCCCCTAGCTTTGACAATTAATTTTTCAAAATAGATTTTGCTTTTTCATCTAGATTAGTAACATTGCTTTATTAAATCAGAATGAAAAAAAATTCTGAAATGCATACAAGACAAGGGCAACATTAATTAGAACATTTCCTTTAAATAACAAACTAGCGTCCCAGATTTTGCCACCTGCAATCCACATCTCTGATTAAGGCAAGACATGATTTTGCAATCTTTTCAATCTATCACTGACTTTGAACTGCAACATTTAAACCTTGGAAATAATATGCATCTTCCCGTTGTTAACCTTGACCTATGACATTTAGAAATATCAATAGGCATCTATTGCTGACTTTGACCAATGAAATTTAGAACTTGGAAATCATAGGCATCTTCTTATCACTGACTTTAATCACTAAACCTTGATTTATGACATTGGAAAAAGTTAGGAGTGAAACGGTCCACTGCGGTATGATTTCCTGCCATATTCTTTGTAGGCTCGATCGCCATTTTCAATTTAGTTCATTTTTCAGTCAGGTTTGGCATTCGTAAAAGCATGCTACACAGTACAAATAAATTTTGAAAACATGATTTTTGAGGACTAAGTTTTTAGAATAATGATAAACAAACAATTCATTGTAATCGATTTCTTCTAGTCAATTTGCCATTGAGCAGTGAGGGATCTTTTTCGTGCCAATATCTATTGTGACACGGGACCTCGGTTTATACAGTCTTATCCGAAGGACCAGTCTTCAGGTCCAGTGGGATTCGAATCTGTGACGTAAGGATCAACTCCTTATGCCGCAACTAGAGCAAATGCTCTAACCACTGCACCGCGTGGGTGACTTCAACAACTGTTAATTAAGTTATTAAATAAGTGTATTTGCATGATCTCATTACCTGCCAGAAGTCTGCCACTGTGTGAGGTAGAGGTCCCTGGGTGGCAATGTAGGCGGGATTTCTTGGGTCATGATCCGTCTGGGGGTAAAAAAGAATATCAGTTGGTTAGTTAGTACTTTTAAACTCAATTCACAATGAAATATCTTAAATCTAAACTTCCTTGGTAACAAATAAACAGAGTCCCTGATAGCAGTAGCAGATAGCAAAACATAGACTAAAATTGCTAGATTCACAAGGATTATTCAATAATCTAATGGGAGGATGTTTATGCAGCTTTTTTTCAAGACCTAAAGGCATAACTTTTACAATACAATCAAGAAACTATGACATATGATACCATCAAGAAATTATGTACGCCATCCCATCTCAACAACTTGACGTTCTTAATGTATGTTTTCAATTATATCCCTATTAAATCACTTATTATTTCTTGTCAATTTCTGTCATTAATTTGAACCTTCAGAAGAAATTGTGGGTAGTTGTCAACCAGTGAATGGCGTATCATTTAACGTCTTGATTATCTTGACCCCAATCCCGGTTAATAATCTCACATTGACATTTTGTCGGCAGATCTGAAATACGACTGGTTTAGATGGCTGTTTAACAGTAATGTTCTTTAATCAATACAGCATTATATCTGTCAATTATCTGCATGTCTTGATGTCAATTAATCTCAAAGCCAATAGTATAAATGTCCCCACAAATTCAATATTACACAGATTTTTGCAATAGCTGATGGTTAAAATCCATTATACTGCAAAATTTGTATGCAAGGACTGTGCAGTTTGATAACTTGGTAGCTATAGGTAACATTTTCAATGGACATGATTTAAAATATGCAATTTTTATAATATGAATTTGATACGTCCAAACCATTTTCACAAATTAATTCTTTTAATTACTTCTTCAAGTTCAGAGATGGGATCATATTTTTACACATGGTTTTTAAATCTTTACCAACGGGTGTATTTCATCATTTCAACAGGTTTCATATGCAACTCTTTATTACTTGAAGGTAAAAAAAAGTCTCTAACATGGACTATCCACCACTGTATTATGTTACTTACAATGGTACTGGCATTGATGTAGTCTGAACTTGAAGCATTACTACTGGTGGACAGAACCACTCGAGAATGGTCATCTGAAATAAAATGAGAACGTCTTTATTACCAGTATTCATGCAGCCCTGTTTTACAAAAGGACGTACAACTAACACCTCCAATTTTAGTAGATTCCATCATCCAGCCAACCTAAGAATTTCTTTTAATTGCTAATCCAAAAGTCTTTTCTAATTCTTATAAATATCATAATATTCAATTTTCTATGTTACGAACATGATGAAGAATATAATTTGAAAAAAAAAATGGTTTTAGTCATAACTGACCCCTGGAAGATGATTGAGAAATGTATCTACACACCAAAAAAGTGTACCTAAAGTAGAGCAAGGTCAAGGTCAGGTGGTACCTTGGCCTCCAAGAGGCCTTAAACAGAGTCCCAAGAGTTGGTAGTTGTGTATTAGTGTATGCCTATAGCTTAGTACATTACCTACTACCAAAAACATTTATATATAAATTCATGTACTGCAGACAAAATGACAGATATCTCTATCCATTAAAACTATACAGGTGTGGTATTTTTTTTCCTCATACACTACATGTAACAATGGTCATCTTAATTCCATGTCACTAGCATATAAACAGTGACCTTTTTGACTTGTCTGAAATAAGACAGATTTATTTCATTTGTCTTCTGTTGGAAAGCCATACACAAAATAAAATTACATGGCTCAAACATGGGTCTAGCAGAAACGGTTTATCTCCTAAGATGCACATCAAATGCAGTAATTACTCACAAAAGTCAAACTATTGATTTTTCTTTGAAAAAGCCACCAGAAAATGATAGACTAGAGAACCATAACAGTGACAGGGAATCGCAAAGCCAGCAATGTGCCTGTCCTTCCCATAGAAAATAACACTGTGTCTGCTGGCCTATCGTGCAAGACAAGACCAATTTCAATTTTGTCTGACAAAATACTATTGCTTTCGCTCAGCCCTATCGACTGCGAATTGGCGTGTTTAATGCCAGCTCGGTTGTATTATTCCGACTTCCACTCGTGAGCATGCAATTTAATTCCGTAATTTTATACTTGTCGGTTCTGAATCATCTGACCATAAAAATGCCAGGGTATTATTGCCAGGATTCTGTCATCACGGAAAGAATATTCCATACCAGATACTACAGACATCCAGTTTTACATGTTTTGGTTTAATTTTTATTGTACTTCTGTGGACCATAAAATGTTGTTACTCCAAACTCTCATTCAATTTTTCAGTTAACATTTAATCTAATGAAAAAACTCTCCAGTTTCCAATATTTCATTGAAGAATTGAGTCCAACATTGCTAAACAGCATAATCTCAATAATACATGTAAGTATAAACACATAACAGCTGATCTCATATTATTACATGAAAAAAAATCTCTGTGAGAATTAAGTCTTGAATGGGCAAAAAGTGTGCTATCTATTCCAATTCAATCTGTATAAATTAATATAAAATAATATTAATCTTTAAATTAATTTTAAGAATATTAAAATTCTTTGTACAGAATTTCATCAGAGGCTAAGTTAATCTTATCCTGATCAGAACAGAACTTAAAGAGATTTCAGTATTTTTTAGAGAATGAAGCCATTTCATGAAACAAAAATCTGTAACTATATAGTTATCATGTACAACCCTGTATATAACCAAACACATGTATTAGTTAAAGATGCATTTCTCTGTGATAACTTGCATATAATTTTTTCAGTTTTGACACTTCAATTGATACATGTTCAATATCTGAAGCAAAATAAAAACGAAAAAAATAAGATTCGTGAGCACATTTTTGAAATACAAACATTGAAAATATGGCGGGAAATCCCATATAACTTTTTGTGATTTTTCATAGTCAATAAATGAGATTTCTTTTTCTGAAAACTAATGATCCTGGGGTTAAACTTTCTAAAAAATAATTTTTGAGATGACTATCAAATTCAACGAAGAATCAAAATACAAGTAAACTAAAAGGGGGTTAGTGGGTAAAAAAATTTCTGATTATTTTGATGGATAAATCCCGAGGAGTTCCCTCAATTTGACTGACACCTCAGCAATATCAGCAGAATACAACATAAGTGGAATTTCAACAGGTAATGCCTATATATATACTGCATTACATCTTATCTGATCTGATATTCTGAGTGTGAAAATTTGTATAGCTGATATATCTGCTTCAAAAACAGTATCACATTAAGTTACATATTTTGAAAGCTTTGTTTTGGTTTTTCAATTTCTAAACTTCTACATAGAGTCAAATTAGTTTAACATGAAAAAATCTTCAAATTTTGGGGGAAACACAGACATTATATAATTAAAATCTAGTTTTCATTTCTCCAAAAGAAAAAAAAAACAAAACAATTAAACTAACTATATAGATTTATCTTTAACATATTGTTTAAAATATAAGTTTATCATTTCTAAACTGAAACATTCAATGACACACTCATTTTACAATTCTCTCAGCTATTGAAAACCAAGTAACATGATATAACGTCATTAATAAGGACAGCATTAGCAGAAAAGCCACTGATAAAAATGGCAAAAACCTTATTCTGAATTATCCATATGATAACAACAAACTGCACTGAACATATCCCCTGTTCACCATATAACAAATACCAAGTAATGGACCGTGGCTTCAGACTCGGTATCAGGTAAACGTAATCCTACCCCCACCATACAAACTTCTCCCCACTCTGTCAATGTTCAGTCAACATTTGCGCCAGATCGAAACAACTGCAGCACTCCACAAGATCCATCATTTTTTTCTGTCAAGATCTCCCACATGAAATGGCTATGAATTGATAAAATGCAACGGCAAATTCGAAATGGCTTTTATCATCCGAAATCTCAAGGTATAAGGTTCCATACCAGCACACTTATTATGTGTGCTTTCCCTCCCAAGGGAGAAAATGATACTGCATGTCATGACTTCTACAAGTTCTAACAGATCGAGGGAAATAAGGGACCTAAATATTCTCTCTATTCACAGCTCTCATCAGGCTCCAAAACCAAAGGCTTATATGTGTCCCTTTTATATACTGTATTCAGGGTTATTTTTGGCCCATGTCATTTAATACTTCCAAACAATTTTGGCCCAGACAAAGTTTTGCTTATGAGATTATGCCGTCTTTTTTGGATTTGCCCCATTTTAAATTTGCTCCCCACTAGCAACAAGGGCAAAAGGGGCAAAAATAAAACAGAGAAAAAAATTTCCCTTTATATAAAACATAGATATTTTTTTTGTGGAAGTTTTTCATCGTTTAAATGCTATGAAGAGACCCATGATCCTTCATGAAATGTAAAAATTTTATACTGTGATATAAGGTTTAATTCCACAAAAAAAACAAAAAAAAAATCACCTTGAACAAGTAATTCTTCCTCTATAACCACAAAAATTTGATCCCACAAGAATATGTGATTTTACAGTAATGTACAAAATAAAATTTAAATTCTAAATCCAAATTGCTATACTCAAACCTTACTTGGAAAATTTTTGACTGTATGCTTTTTTGTTGAGGTATTTAAGTACTATAAGTTTTTCAGATGACTGCAAAGAATTAATTTTCATGCAACCAAATTTTAAACAAACCCTGACCTCTCCAAGTTCAACTTGTTGATAACTTAACATTTCTTATATCTGGTACGTTATGATTTTGTCTGTTTTACACTTACAGGGCACAGTGTCGCTATACCGGTTCTTGCGGATGTTAGCCGGGTCGTTGGCCACATTTGTACTGGAGGGGTCAGCCTCGTAGCTACAGAGTCCCTCCCACTCCCTGTCCAGTCGGTCCTTGTTTTTCAGGTGATCCTCCATGTATGACTGAAACAACACAACAGGTGTTTGTATTCTCTTACACAGGATTAGTACAATTTCACAGATAGATAGAATTTTATGCAGTCATTTCATACAGATACTTGCATCATAATTTACTGTCAGTGAAATTTACTGTATCTTTCATATCACATCACTTTAGGGTTAGCATGAGAAAAGTTGGGCTAGTTAATTACACCAAATTAATGGCTAGCCCAATTAAGCAAAACATGATGAAGAGATTGGGCTTTTTCCATCTATTTATTAGTCATGCATCCACAAACACCAAAAAATACCAATCTATCAGAGAGGAACTTCACTGCTTCCAGACAATCATATATATATATATATATATATATATATATATATATATATATATATATATATATATATATATATATATATATATATATATATATACCAAGTTATACAACTGTGATAAACAAATTTAAATTAACTTGATGCATCATGTTTCACTATTTTGAATATAAGGGAAATAATAATAACAGTTAGCCGTTAATTAAAGTGATATTAGCAGTGCTTTCATAAGTACAAACTGTCAATTTGTAGAGATCAAAATTTATAGAATGGTTTTCAAAATATTCAACACATTTAAGACATTAAATCCTAATTTTTTGTTAAATATACTGTATACAAGGAAATTTTTGCCCCTTTTGCCCTATTCTCAGTTTGGTGAATTTAAAATAGTGTGAATGCAAAGAACACAGCATAATTTCTTAAACAAAACTGGGTGAATTTAAAATGGGGCAAAATTGTTTACAAATGTGAAAGGGCATATATATAAATAACATGGGGCAAAAATAACCCCGTATACAGTATCCTTATTATAAGTGAATCTTCTGTGTTTACATTTACTAAATGTAAATCTGTTTCATAGAAAGGAAAATACACACAAGGCTACATAAAATAAAAATTACAGTTCTCAGGCCTGCCCACATCCATTTTGAGGTAGCCACATCGCAATTTTTATCATATGTTTGCAATCAAATAAAAAGTTGGTAATGCAGACACCAATCGGGGGAAAAAAATCAAGTCCCTTGCCCATATCTGTTTTAAAGAAAATTAGCCTTAAAAACCATAATGTCAATTTTACTTGGGCCAAGCTATTCAGCATAACCATGTACTTTCTAAAACAAAACTATGAATTACTACACAAACACACAGACATACCAATACGATATGTCCAGTCGAGATGTCCATATTTGAGGTAACCGGCTCTTCACTCCTGAAATAACAACAATAAAATATAAGACAATGAATTCTGCTTGCAGTGAACACAATCTGATTATGTTGAATACTCTCTTATACATACATGTATATATATATATATATATATATATATATATATATATATATATATATATATATATATATATATATATATATATATATACACAGTCAAACTCTCGTTATCTCGAACTTGATGGGACAGAGAAAAAACTTCTGAGATATCCAAGGATTTGAGATATCCAGGGTAAAATACTTAAAAGAATGAGGGGTTGGGACTTCTAAATCACTTCGACATTTCCATGGTATTTGAGACATCAGTGTTCGAGATAGCAAAGTTCAACTGTATAATGGAATCATATTTTTCATTTGACTACTTCTTTGCAAAAAATATATATATTCATATTCAATGTAATAGAATAAAAATGTAAAAGTATTAATGATTCAGATTGTTCATAGAAGTTTATGCTTGGAATAAATGGGAGAGCTTCACATCTCCTTAATGACCTCATTGTTGAAGTTAGAAATCAGTTCAATGGCCAAGATCTGGAACACCACTCTACTTTTTTTGATAAACCCTCATCCCCCCTTTTTTCCCCCCGATTTACTGATCTTTCATTTCTTCCCTGTGGGGATATTTCTTCAAATGTAGAACCAAACAACAACATAAAACAGCATTAATTTTGTTCAATTCATTCACCAAAAATAATTAGGGTTGTCGACAAGACACTGATCTCAATGTACGAGTCCCGGAGGATTTAGTAATTGTGAGAGATTACCAAACTGGGACATATTTACTCCGAGAGCTAGACTGCATCTTGTCATCTCAGACCAAATGCTGCAACAAAAATAACACCCCTGCTGCAGATTCTGGGAAGTAAGTTGACATGATTCTTTCTTTATTGTAATGTTACTGGATTAACAGAATCATTAAGATGGAACAAAATGAAATTTCTGTTTTAGCTGCAATGTCCTTCTAAATTGATGTAACATTTAAAATTCAAGAACCGACCAAACTGCTTTTAATGAACACTGCCTGATGTATACACCTCTTAAAAAGAAAGAATATCTTTCTTCTGTAAAATGAACAACTTTTTATACCTGCATGGTAATAAACTTAATTATATAACTAATGCTCCCTGCAGAGCAGATTTAGGTAGACATCCCCTGTGGACAAGAATACATTTTTCCAGTATAAAATTTTGGAACCATCTTATTACTTCCAAGAATACTTTAGTATTTAAAATCTATAAAGCAACAGTCAAAACAAACTCATGGACTAAAAATATTTTTTCAATTTCCAATAAGTTAGGATTTTCATTCATTACCAAAAAAGAAAATTCAATAAAATCACTTCTGAGAAACATAAAACTAAGAATATCAGATCAATGCTTACAAGAGGAATATGCAAAGATTCATAATTCATCAAAACTAAAATTTTATCAAGTTGTTTTTAATAATTTCAAACGCTGTGGATACACTGATATATTAAAAAAGAAAACAGAGAGATCAATTATTAGCAGGTTGAGACTTAGTGCACATAACCTTGCCATAGAAAAAGGGAGACATTTGTCTATACCCACAGATAAAAGATTTTGTAATATTTGCAACACAGGGGAGATTGAAGATGAATTTCATTTTCTATTCAGCTGCCATAAATACAATAATTATAGGTTAACTTTTGAAAGGAACTTGATGAATTTTTTTCAAGGAAAAATATCAAATATGTCTTATACTCAAAAAGTTAAGCTTTGCTTTAATAGCCATTGTCCAGAAATACTGAAAATAACACACTCATTTATTAAAAAATGTCTTGCATCTAGAAATGATTGCATTACATAATTATTATACAAATGATGTGTGATTTATAATTATGTATAGCCTCACATTCTATACTAAAATATTGTGTATTTATGTATGAACAATCGATTTTTCTTATAATGTGTTGTGCCTTTGCCAATTATTGTAATTGTGTTTGTGCCAATAAATATTTGTATTTGTATTTGTATTTGTATAAATTATAGAATCGTCACTTTTCAAACAGATTCAATGACATGCATGCTGGAGGAAAAAATCCTTTAATAATTTGAGAAGTACATATTACTTATTTTAATTTTCTAAATTTACAGGAGATAATTGCATGCTGAAATACTAGGTTGTCAAATGATTCTTCCGTTCTTATAAATTCTCCTCATCTTAAAATAATACACGTGAAAAAAGAGGACACCTCTAATAAGCAGTTACAAGGGTACATGTGTCACACTCTTCTGAAACTCTACACTAGGATTTTCTTTACGTTTTTCTTGATTACATGTTTTACTCTTTTAATGAATCCTATATATACAATTACAATCTTTGAAATTGCTTCCACACATCCAAAAATATATATTTTTAAAGGTCTTTTGACTGACATGATCACCAATCAATGACAGTGTATTTATAAGAGTTTTGGTGCTTTCTTTGAGGATAATTTATGACTTTACCAACAAAATATGAATCTATATCACTACAAAATCTTAATATACATATATTTATTGCATACACACGTAAACAATCAGGGTTAAATCATCATTGCAGATGCATGGCCAACATATAAGTATGCTTAATTTTGAACACAGTTCTAATTACCCTTCATATACCTAGTATACACAGTAATTACATGTATTCACAAAGCTGTCAAACCTTACAGCAAAACACAAACTTTCTTTTATTATATTTCATTTGAATTTCAAGGTTATATGACAGCAGGGATACAAACTGTTCTGTTCTTTTTCATTAACATCTTGGTATTTTGTTGCCAGGCATTTTTCACAAAGAAAAGGAAATAAATTTGGTCCTTACTCAAATAGACTGAAAAAAAAACACTATTGACTAAGGAAGCAGACATTTAGTCTTACCAGATTAAATCCTTTTACTCCAAAACAAAAATCCAAATCATATAACTCATCCTCGTCAACATAAATTTCTCCAAAGAAACAGTTTCATTGATGGAATATCCCATTTAAATGACATATAAATGTTAAGATTTTTCTTCACAACGTATTATCTGTACCTGATATTCATGATATATAATACCAAATCATACTGATGTTTGAAAAAATATTCCTGAAAGATATCACTAGTGATGATACAACTGGGAATGGACTTAATGGGACTGTGTTCCCATTAAAAATCTCTGTGAATTGACAGATTTTCAGCAATAAAACAGAATTAAAGCTGAAACAGATTTGGAAGTAAGAAGCGATTTGTCATTCTGGCGAGTGAGCAGGTTCAGCCGTTCGATGACAAATAAGGCCAAAATCGGCCGGCATTAATTGGCACTAGGATCTCTTTTATGGGGGAAGCCCGTTAACAGAGGAGCTTTAATCATGGCAGATACTGTGACTTAACTAATGGGGGACGGAAGTGAAAATGCCATTAAATGCTGAGACAGCACTATTCCATTATCTCTGACTAAATGAGAAGCAGGCTATAGAATAAAATGGCTACAGTGTGTTCACTAGCAGAATGGTGAACTTCAATCAATTTGTCAAATACAAACATAACTTGGGAGAAAAGACCACTGTACATCCATTTCAACACAGACCTAAAATTTTTATGAATGCCAGTACTGACTCAGAAGTCCTAAAAATAAACATTCCCAAATGCTGTTATATGTTTTTTCTTCATGATTTTTTTTTATAACCAGATAATCGTGAGCCAACAGAATTACAGTTAACCTTGAAACCTAATGGATTGTCAGGATGGCTAGCATTTCAAAAATTGACAACTTCATCATTTGCACCACACGAGTGCCATGAAACAAGAAAATACAATAGAATGCACAGCAGGTGACGAAGATTGTTATCAAAGATAGACATTGAGTCTGTACCAGGGCCATCCCACTGCTTCTCATCGGAAGAGCAATATCCAGCCTTACATCCAACATGCATGACTCATTATGTAGTATTTTTACCAAGAGACCATTATCTATAGAACCTATTTTAGAGTCAGCCAACAGCACAACTTCTTACAGATATAGGCATGTCTGGATCTGTTAATTGTAGTCCAATTTTATATCTAATTTGTAATATTTTACACGACACAAATTAATGAGTATATTAAACCTTTTTATATCTAGGACTCAATACACCATGTAAAAGTATAATCCTGCTTATAATGAAAATGTAATTTATCTGATTGGAATAGCGTAGTGTTTTTAAGAGTGTTCCCTAACTTAACACCATAATTATTTACCATGACGAAGTGCTGCTCCTGCTGGAGGGACTGCGGACCTGCTCCCCGGACATACTTCCGATTCGTGACGCAGCATGAAGGGGTTCCGGCTTCTCTGAGGACTTTCCTTGCATCCTCTGCCGACAAAGATCCTGTGAAATATTTACATAATTTGAAAAAAAAACATTACAATTATAATAACAAATAATGATCAACTCCTTATTGCAATCATTTCAAAAAGCAAACAACCTTCTAGGTCTTTGAAGATTGAACAGAAAAATGGCATATATTGAGATTGAATTATAGAAAGGAAGAAACTGTCTGGGGATTCTTGGACAATCTGGTTACCTAAAATTAATATTGTCAACACTGCCTACTAATTGCACTGACAATTATAAGAACCATGAGTACCTTCACCAGTCATACTTTTGTTGATTACCCAGAAGACTTTGTTGATTACCCAGAAGACTTTGCTGATTACCCATAAGACTCTGCTCCTGATTGTCACAACTCTAGTGAGAGTCTACTCTTTTTCTCTAATATAATCTCTATACCTAACAGTAGATTATCCAATCACTTTTCTCTCTAAGTATATTATCTCACAGTTTTTAATCCAGATTTGGGCTATACTGATTGAAACATATATTCAGCCATGACATGTAACTAGACAGAAATTTCTATATTTTCTTATAATGACATAATGTAGATATTGTAACACTTATTGGCTGCTATATATTGATACCTGCAGTGCTATTTATAAATAGATATTATATCAGTGTGTTTCTATGAGGATCGATCAATTAAGTTTTGCTATTTTTAGTTTAATGATATGTGATCATAAATATCTAGAACAAAAGGCAAATAGAAACTTCCTTGATTAGAAAAATTAAACTTTTCCTGAATTAGATAGTTAATTAATTCTCATGGGTATTATGGAAGATTTATTATCCTTATGATGAGGAAATATTTTAACACCATCACTTCATTGTAATTGACATAACAAGAATACTGGCTGCTGCCAAGTAGTGTTTAATTAACAAGGTCCAATGAATTCCAAAGAGGACATAACTTTTAAAAAAAAAGGAGTATATTTATATGCTTATTTATAATTAAAATATAATTAGACCTATTAATTTATTAGACAATCTGTGAAAACTGTTACACTGATAAATAGAGTTCAACTTCAGTATCTCAAACACAGATATCTCAAATACCATAGATAGATATATGTTGAAGTGATCTGAAGTCCCAACTAATATTCCTTAAGTATTGGATCCTTGATATCTTGAATCCTCAGATATCTCGAAGTTTTTTTTCTCAGTCCCATCCAGTTCAAGATAACAAAGTTTGACTGTATTTTTAATCTGAGAAACAATGCTCCATCCATTTTAACATTACTCTGCAAAGAGCTTGTGTAAAAGTGTTCTCTGTCTGCAATAAATATCTGAATTTGTGAATTTGTCAATAGCGAATTAGGTAGTGGCACATTCATGTCTGAGAGGCTCTGGGTTATAGCCAAATACCCCATAAAGAAGAGTGGAACTTTTCTCCCCCCAAATTTAATGGAAAATACAGACACATCCATCATGGCTGATCATCGCTGAACTGCGACTGGAAGTCAAATCCAGTCTTGTCGCCAATTTACTCCGGAAATCCCCATGGGAACCAAATGGATTTTTTGTTACTGTTAAATGTGCGAGTTGACCATCAAGCAAATGCATTTACTTCCATTCACCTTAAGGGTGTATTGATGAATGGGATTTGCCAATAGTTTGAGATATAATTATGAAAAGGTAGACTTTATTTCACTTAATATTTCAAAGAAAGAATGACAAGACAATATATTGTTTACATTATTATTGAAACACTGCATGTCAAATTATAGGTCTTGATACAAGTTTTGGTAAATTCGGTAATTTCTGTAAATTTCCAACCATACTCCTAAGCAAATTATTTTTTTTTTTTTTTTTTGCTTTACCTAAATTGTGACAAATTTATCACAAACTCATTTTTTTAACCAAACTTGTATCTTTCATAATTTCAATTCCTATGTATTCTACCTCATACACAGGGTTGTACCTAAGACCTAGGGGCTGGGGAATTTCCCCACCTATAATGACGTTAATCTCCCGTTATTCTGGTATGTCCCCTCAGCCCACCACTGTCGGAGGAGGAACCCTATACCCCCCTTCTACTTTTTATATGTCCCCTGCTATTTCAATTCTTAGGGACAACCCTGCATACATATTATCTTGCTTAAACATTTTTAAAAATCTTGTAAAAAGTTTCAAATATATTAGGTTTCCATTTCAATATTTTATTCATCTTAGATTTGTCAAATGCCTCAATATAACACACATACATGATGTGGGGCCACCATCCACCTCACAAAACTAGTTCCCCACCCTTCTGGTTTTTTTTCCCATTTTTTCATTCCAATGCCCCATCCATCTGGAGAATCTTTCCCTTTTAAAAGTGCTAAGAATATAGCTGAAGTACTTTTCCATCACCAGATTTTTACTTTCATTTTTGCGTTTCTTGATAACTGCCACCTATAGACCTATTAATTACCATGTGTTTAACATTCTTAGATAAGTCTTAATTCATACAATGAAGCATTTTATTTTGATTGCCAGATGTCCCAAAAGCAATGTAGAGCAGCAGGAATATGGTTTGTGATAGAGTATTAATAATTAAAATATTTTAGAAAAATTCCTGTACATTACATTCAACTATAAGTCCAATATTCAGAGAACGATTACATGTATACAGCCTCCATTTTTTATTCAAATAATGATAGTACTCTACACCTATACCCAAGACTTTCAAATAAGCTGAGTGCTTTTCAGTACTTTTGATTTATTTCCCCATGCATCTCTGACTATCCAGTTTCCAACTGCAACCACCTGGTTCAAGTTTTACTTTTCATAATCTGACTCATTGTGACCAACCTGGTCACTAACTCACATTAACCACCTATACCCACCTGATCAAACCTGGTCACTAACTCACTAACAATACTCACCCATCTAATACAACCTAATCACTAACTCAAATCAACTCAACTCTTCCACCTAATACAAACTGGTCACGAACTCTCTATCAGTCGCCCCTGTGGCGCAGTGGTTAGAGCGACTGCTCTTGAGTTGCGCATTAAGGAGCTGATCCTTACGTCGGGGGTTTGAATCCACTGCGGGACATAGAGACCAGTCCTTCGGATGAGTCCGTATAAACCGAGGTCCCGTGTCGCAGTAGGTGTTGGCATGAAAAAGATACTTCACTGCTCAATGGCCCTGAGTGCCGTATAAATTTGCAGCCTACCACAGTTAAGTGGTGGCATCTCCACATGAGTGAAAAATTCTCGAGAGGGATGTTAAACCACAAACAAACAAAAACTCTCTATCAACTACCAACCCACATATAACCTGATCACTAACTCACTATCAACTACCCACCCACCTGATACAACCTGATCACTAACTATCAACTACCCACCCACCTGATACAACCTGGACACTACTTCACTATCAACTACCGACCCACCTACAACCCGGTCACTATCTCACTATCAACTACCCATCCATCTAATACAAACTGGTCATTAACTCACTAACAACTACCCACCCACCTACAACCTGGTCACTAACTCTCTATCAACTACCCACCCACCTACAACCTGGTCACTAACTCTCTATCAACTACCCACCCACTAACAACCTGGTCACTAACTCACTATCAACTAACCTCCCACTTACAACCTGGTCACTATCTCACTATTAGCTACAACTACACATCCAACCACCTACAACCTGGCCACTAACTCACTATCAACTACACATCTAACCATCTACAACCTGATCACTAACTCACTATCAATTTCCCACCCACCTGGTAATCCTGGGATGGTTCATTGCCCTCTCCTGTAGATCCAGATAGCTGTGCCAACTTCTTTTTGGATCTGGAGTTCCTCCGGATAAGGAATATGATGACAGAAGCCAGGAGAATTCCCGCGATACATCCACACAGGACGAAGCTCAGTACGATGTATCTGTCATCAGACACTCGCAGACTGACAGGGTTCTGCAACAAAGAAATACAGAAAACTTGAAAGTCTTCTTTTAGTCCAACACTACTTAATAAGTCACTTTCTATGTACAAATTAATTTGTAGGCATAGCTGATCCTGACTCTCAATGTAATCAGAAAATCAGTATATATATAATGCACAATTTCATAACTCTGATAGGGAAACCTTGAAAATGATGTACATGTATATCAAGAGGACATATCTTTTGATTTTCCATTTTTTATTCAAAATATCAAGAGGCAGTATTTTATTCAGACAAAAATTTCTTTCTTAAGGATCAATTTTAGTTCTTCTAAGGTGTATCTGTACACATTTCCATACTCAATAGATCCAAGTTCAAGATTTAATTAATTTTAATTGAGGTACACTTGTGAATACATGTATACTTATAGTCTCAACCTAAAAGAGAAATTATCAACAATGAAAGAAAAAGTGAGCAAGCTCACATACCCCACGCTTCCCCAAAACTCGACAATGCAACACGTAATGAATGGCACAGTGCATTTTAAATACACAGTATAATTCAAAAAAGGGGCATTACTTGCAAAAAATCATCACATCAAAACTTCTTGCATATAAGGACATTCAAATCTTTGTATGTTACAAATTTAACTGGGCTGAAGTTTCTAGATAAATAATGGAATCAAAATTTCTTGGTAATATACAAATCTATACATTATTCTGAAATACCTACAAAGTTTCAGGAAATTCAGTGCCGGAATTATGCTGACAAACTGTTATTTAAATTCCTCAGTGATTTCGATTTGTTAATGAGTGTAAGTCCATGTCCAACACATGACAGTTTACACATTTAAATAATTGATGGAAACAAAATTATGATGTAGTCATATGAATCTGTTTATATACTGTACTTATGAAATTATTTAAGGCAAAGCACACCAATTTGAGGGGGGGGGGGGGGGGGGGGGGGAGAGAGAGAGAGAGAACTATCGAAGATGGTGTGTGTGTGAGTGTGTGTTTGTGTTAAACCATTAATATTTTGATCTCAAAATCAATAGGGGTCTTTTAAGGTCATAAAATATTTCACATAGAATTTCAGTATAAAAAGCTGATTCCAGTGAAGTTTCTTATTACCTAGCTGGAAAGTTTCTTCAATAAAAGGCAAAACTCTTAGGGCAAAAATAATGGAATCGGAATTTCCTGGTAATATGCACATCTACACACTGTGTACTAAATATCTGCAAAGTTTGTCCAAATTCTGTGCAGCGGTTTAAGAGGAGTTGTGCTGACAAACTGTTCATCTCTATATTCAAGATATGGCCAAAAACCTAAGTTGAAAAGTGCCGAAATTCCCAGAAAAAAATAATGGAATCAGAATTTCCTGGTAATATGCACATCTACACACTGTGTACTAAATATCTGCAGAGATTGACCAAATTCTGTGCAGCGGTTTAAGAGGAGTTGCGCAGACAAACTGTTCATCTTTATATTCAAGATATGGCCAAAAATCTAAGTTGAAAAGTGCCGAAATTCCCAGAAAATATAATGGAATCGGAATTTCCTGGTAATATGCACATCTATACACTGTGTGCTAAATATCTGCAAAGTTTGACCAAATTCTGTGCATTGGTTTATGAGGAGTTGTGCTGACAAACTGTTCATCTCCATATTCAAGATATGGCCAAAAATCTAAGTTGAAAAGTGCCGAAATTCCGAGAAAAAATAAAGGAATCGGAATTTCCTGGTAATATGCACATCTACACACTGTGTACTAAATATCTGCAAAGTTTGACCAAATTCTGTGCAGCGGTTTAAGAGGAGTTGTGCTGACAAACTGTTCATCTCTATATTCAAGATATGGCCAAAAATCTAAGTTGAAAAGTGCCGAAATTCCCAGAAAATATAAAGGAATCGGAATTTCCTGGTAATATGCACATCTATACATTGTGTGCTAAATATCTGCAAAGTTTGACCAAATTCTGTGCATTGGTTTATGAGGAGTTGTGCTGACAAACTGTTCATCTCCATATTCAAGATATGGCCAAAAATCTAAGTTGAAAAGTGCCGAAATTTCGAGAAAAAATAAAGGAATCGGAATTTCCTGGTAATATGCACATCTACACATTGTGTCCTAAATATCTGCAAAGTTTGACGAAATTCTGTGCAGCGGTTTATGAGGAGTTGCGCTGACAAAAAAACAGGACTGACGGACTGACTGACTGACTGACTGACTGACACACTGACTGACACACTGACTGACTGACTGACTGACGGACGGGTCAAAAACATTATACCTCACGCAACTTGTTGCGTGGGGTATAACAAAAAAAGAATTAATTTCAAGATTAAATTTGTTTATTATAGACAATTATATGTGACCACCTTTGCTGGAAAAGTCAGTATCATTGAGAGGTAAGTCCTATGAGAGTTATTTTGAAGCAGCAGATTTGCATAAATACTTTTTCAAGTAACCTTATGTCACAAATCCATTATATATTGTGTCACATATTTCTTTATAGACGTCAGTCCTAGGAGTGCAGTACAAGCCAATGTTTCATTAAAATGCCCCTCAAGGAAAAATCCCTTGACACGAAATGAAGATAATCCTGCAATATAATGCGCCGAAGCATCAAAGCATTATATATTGCTGAAGACAGCTTTAAACAAAGATAGAACTTAGTGCTTGGAGCTGAAATTCTTTTTTTTTCATATTGATTCGAAGTCAGAGAAATAATGTCTTCAGGAAAAAAAAAACAATAATCGGATTTTGAATCTTGGTAGCCACACAAATTGTTTCAGAGGCTTTGTCACATATGCAAATCTGTCCACAGTTGAATTGGTTTAATTATTCAAAAGAGCTTAAAACTTCAGTGATCTTCAGTATCAACCCTGACACAAGATCCTGTTCTTCTTGTTAAACGATAGGAAACTAGCCCCCGACATAGGCACTAGATATTGATTTGAGCTCAGTCTTTGAATTTTCTTGGTAATCTACATTTAATTAAGCTTTGTCAAGAACCTTTTATAGATTCTACTGCACAAATATATTGGATTTATTTTATTTGCCTCCTTTCCAGGATTTTAAAAAATTTTTCTTTGGCTCTTGGCCATGATGATTTTAGGACTTTAAAAGATGATGTAGCCCCTAGGTGAGAAATATAGAGAACAACATGCAGCCTTTTAATATATCTCTTTGTAATACATCATTATATTCATAAAGCAAAAAAAAAAAAAAAAAAAAAATGCAGCCATTCCACACAAATGAATCTTTTTTTGACATTTTATGACCATCAATCTCTAAGGAAATTACATCCTCTAGCCATGTACATTCATTTATTGACACCACAAAACAATAATAACTGAAGATATATTAAAATCTCTCTCCCTTTTTTTCGTATCATTTAGATGAGAAAAGCCTTAACAATTACCAGTTATAATAGTAGATTTATTTTTCACACATCTCGATTATTAAAAATAATATGGTCTCGGGGCATAAAATTAGCACATGATAGCTCTAAAAATCGGTCAATCAAATATATTGCTCATGATAATAAATTATTTCCTTGGAAATTAATTTCAAAGAATAACATGATTTGAACATTCATTATGAAGCCATGCTTTTGGTAAAGTGATACTCATTTCTTGTTTAAAATGAATCAATTAAGGGTTTATTGAATAAAATGAATTTATGCAGTTTATAACAAGTGCAATGTGTTTGTCCCTGGCACCAATGGTCATATATAAGCATGTTTTACTGCACATTTTTTAATTAACATTAATTGCTACAGCACCTTTTTCTTATTTTTCAGAAAGTTCCAAAATTCTCCACAATTTGATGTTAAATTTCATGAATAATATTACCTTTTGAACGTTCCACATCATGAAAACACAATATATATTATTCTATGACTGAGCACACTGAATTAATCCATATCAATTTAGAATTTTTTAAAGACATTAGCTATCAAAAATCATTCAACGCACTCTAGTGAAAAAGTGAAGAAATTAAATATATATATATATATATATAAAGCACTAAAAATGACCAACGACATGAACAATAATAATTAATTGTCAAATTTTCGCAGCGATTTTTTTCTACCTATTGGGAAAGGGTCCAGTACCGGTTCAGTTGGGAAAAATTGCATCGAAGTAGATCAAAGGAGAATTTTCTGGCATTTAAACAAATAAAACGTATTTTCAGTTTATTCCAACTTCATTACATATTACCCCGTGTTTTAAAGAATAAACAAAAAGTGTTTATTGTTTTTCATATCATTGTCCCTTGTTTTCGCATTTTCATGCTTTCAATTTGTCAAAATGTATGACATTACGCTGTCTACACCACAGGTCCCCCCATATTAAGACTAACTTCTACTTTCGATTCAAGCGGAAGTGAAACAATTAGTCAACTTGTACAACATGTGCAATGTTTCATTTAAAAAGAAATACAATGTCATCATAGTCTGTTGCATGGCAGTTGAATTGGGAATTTTTAGTCTCAAAATTGGGAAAAATTAACGTTTTTTGGCATTGGGAACGGTACCGTTTATCGGTACCAGTTATATAAGGAAAAAAAACGCTGTTTCGGGACAAATTCCATTCGTGACCTCGTATCATAACTTAGTAGATCTGACACTTAGGATATACAGTGTTGTTGGTTTTTAGTGCTTATATATATATATATATATATATATATATATATATATATATATATATATATATATATCATCTTCCCAAGTCACTTGGGTTTTTGATCCGCTCCACATAAACGTTTATGTGGAGTGGAGCGGATCAAAATTACCCTTGACTTGGGAAGATGTGGAACGGAGCAAATCAAAAACCCTTGACTTGGGAAGATGATTTAAGGAATCACTGTCTAGTTAGTAGAGTATGCCAGGACATCAACGATAGTTGGAAACGTGTGATAATTTGCATAACGGCGAAGCCCGTTATGCATAAATTATCCCATGTTTCCAACAATCGTTGATGTCCCTGGCATACTATACTAACTAGACAGTGATTCCTTATAT